TGGGGATTCGAACCCGCGACCCTCTGATTGCGAATCGAGTGCCCTAACCACCTGGCCATGCCGGGCCCCAGTTGTTGCACTTGTAAAAGGTGTCAGAGGGTGGTCCTGAGTCGATATATTTTCTTTTGTTTCTCTTTGTTCTAGCTGGCAGAACCATGTTTTTTGATACAACTACAGAGAAGGGTTCTTTCTGTTGCCTGACAATGTTTCCCATTTACTTAGATAAATTCCAAAGGCATCACGTGTTTCTTGCATTTAGCCTCGAAACGGAGTTTCGGACGTCCACTTATTCTTCCCTCATCTGCTAGTTTTCCATACAGCATGTCTTTGGGAATTCCCCCTTCTTCCATTCTGTGTAGGTGTCTCTGTTTGAGGGTTGCTGTCATGCTCAGTAATACTTTTCTTTAAAAGGCCTCTACGTTTGTGACTTTGTTTTGCTATTTGATATTCAGAATGTGGCGTTCACAGTGTAGGTGGAAACGGGCAACATCAAGAGATGTTGCCCATGTTCCACCAGGATGCTGAACGTACAGGTTTTATATACATCTTTTTGTGTGCTTTGCTTTGAATTTTCCCAGGCTTGAAAATGTTTGTGACACAACAAACCCCAATAAACACTGTGAGTGGACAAAAATTACAAAATCCCACTCCTCCGGCTCCTCTTCCAATTCTAATAGGCATTGTTACTTAAATTCTGCACGTTTTGAAACATCACAATTCGCTAGTCCAATGGAATCGTTTAATTAATTATTACAGCAATTTGAATTTAGCGCAAAGCTACACGAGGGATATCTATGCTAACCGTCCCTAATTTAGCAGTGAAAGACTAGAGGGAAGGCAGCACCACCCACCACCAACTGCTGGACTACTCTTTTGCCAACGAATTGACTGTCACATAATACCGCTCCCACGGCTGAAGGTGCAAGCATGTTTGGTGGGACGGGGACTCAAACCCGCGACCCTTAGATTACAAGTCAAGCGCTTTAACCACCTGGCCATTAACAGTAATTATTAATGTGATAATAATTACGATAACATTAACCCTTCAAAAATAGGGGAAGGGCTTATCTTGTGCTTTAGACGAAAAAAAAAATTTAGTAGTTCAAAATTTTCGTTTTTATTTATTTTTCTCTCTTTTTTTTTCAAACAAGAAGTGTGCGATAGTTTTAGTATGAGTTATTGTGATGTAATATCAACAGATATTTCAAATTTCTTCATTTTGTTATGAGAACTTCTTATTTTCTCTCTTCCTTTAAAAAAAAAAAACATTTTCTTGCGATAATTATCACAGATATTATTGTGTTTTATTTCCCTATATACCTAGATGTGATATTGGAAATTTACGTCCTCAATTCAATATCTCTCAAACAATTGTAGTAAGACTTGCATACGGTAGATGGCAGGACATGTAGTGTATTCATAGAATCTAATGACTAATAAAGATACTTCTGTTGCGTCATCGAGGTCACGTGACTGGTGTGGCGCCACCTATTTTCTAGAACTATCCCGTACCTTGGCGAATGCTCTAGTATTTACTAGATATAGGGTAGTCTGGTATATAAAAGAGGGTGACAACGTGACGGAAGAATAATGTAATGTGTGTGTGAAGATAGTGAGTAATTGAACTGCAGTCAGAAGTATTATTGACGTTCGTTGATATAGCGTTTGTTTTAGCGCGATTGTTGAAAATAAGTGTATCGTAAAGTTGTATCCGGAAAGAATAAACCAGTTTTATTAAGTAAAGAACTTGTGTCGCTAAAGTTTCGTCGGAACGAAGTTACGGAAAATCAACTAACGAACGGAGACGTAACACTTCTGTCTTCCATATTTGAGTATTCTGGCTGTTCAAACTTTTCCAATATGCAAGAATATCTTTTCTTTTCATTTTTGCTTCCTTTATTTAATCACGTTTATTAATCATGTTACTCTATGCATAATTACCCTAATCATTTAATTTTATATAACCACTTTTAAGACGAACATAATTAAAGCTATTACGAAGAAGTCTCTGGAATATTCAAGAAATATATTTGGCTTTATGATTAGGGTTTTTATACAATTGATTACACTCTCACTAAGTTTAAACTTAATATTTATTTGAAAAGGTGAATAAATTCCCAATTTTCCCCATCATTTCCGAAATACTTAAATAGGGGAGAAGCAAATAGATAGAAATTCTTTTATTATCCATTCAATGACAAATATGAATTAATT